AGGAGGTAAGATTTTATCTCTGAGCTCTGACCTCTCGGCTTTTCTCTTTTACCTTGGCTCTGTGTTTCTTATTTTAATAATACGATTGGTTGCATCTACAGCCATCTAGGGGTATATAGCAATATCCTGTCTCAGATAAATGAATGAACAAATGCATGCATGCGTGCATGAATGAATGAGTAAATGGAACCAGGTGCAGTTCAGTGGTGTAGTGCTTGCTGCAAGCCTGAAGCCTTGGCTTCCATCTCTAACACCAAAACTGAATAAGAAAGTAATGATATATTTTATCTTATATAAATGTTAGATGCCAAGCATGCAATTGACATACAGTGTATGTCATTCCCCATTTCAGATGCTCAGTGTTCAAAGAGAAATGTGGATGGTGGTAGGGAAGAAATTGGAGGTGAGGTGTTAGTATTCTGACCCGCCCCTTGGGGAACCCACCCAGCATCCTCTGATGCCACTCTACATTCCCTTTAAGAAAAAACTCCCTCCCCCCCTTTGCTCGCTCTCTCTCCTCTTTCCTCCCTTCCTGGCCGTGAGGTGTGCACACCTCCGCTTCCTCTCCTTTCTTTCTCTCCCTCTCTCTCTCTCTTTCTATTATAATAAACTCTCTCCATGAGCCCCACCGCCCCATCTGCCTGGCATGTTTCCCCCAGCCATGGGGCACCTTGGCCTGGCCAGCCAGGGCCTCCCACTTGCTGTATCATTATAGAGGGAATGGGGGTTGGATTTGATCAGACACATTATATGCATTTAGGAATTCTCAGGAAATAAAAAAGCGATGTGGTACTGGACCTGCGGTTGTTTCCCAGCACCCATGTGGACAGTTCACAACTGCCTGTAACTCCAGCGCCGGGGATCTGATGCCCTCTTCTGGCCTCTACTGGCTCTACACTCACATGTATGTACCCACACACATAATTAAAAATAAAATCTACAAAATAAATTTAAAAAGCTGGGCTGTGAAAGGACCAAGCAGATGCCATAACAGGCTGCTCAGCCTTCTCAGAGATCAGGCCTCAATTTCAGTTTCCTGAGACTTGAGCAAGCAGTTTCTGAGAGGGCGGTGAACAAAAGACATAGTCCTTGCAGTAGCTCCCTTTCTGCATGTACTGTGACTGCTCAAAGTTCAGCCAGGTGTTTACTGTCTGGGACCCCTCACCAACTTACAGCTATGTGCATGAGTCAAGGACAGAGCCTGGACCACTGAGCCAGCCCCCACAGTCAGTACATGCTAGGCCAGCCAGCCCCCATGGCAGCTCAAGGACAAAGCCTGGGACTTGTGCCAGACTGCCCCCAAAGTGATAACTGTAAACCCCAACCAGTAAATTCAAAGGTTACATACCCTCACCCAATTAAAAGAGAAGAGAGATAAAAATAAATCGATCCGAATTGCACCCGTGCAAAACCCCCAACTCCCCGACCCCCCAACCGCCCTGAAGGGCTTGTGGTTTTTGCCTTTAAAAAGCTAGCCTCGCCGGGCGGTGGTGGCGCACGCCTTTAATCCCAGCACTTGAGAGGCAGAGGCAGGTGGATCTCTGTGAGTTCGAGGCCAGACTGGTCTACAGAGCGAATTCCAGTACAGCCAGGGCTACACAGAGAAACCCCGTCTCGAGAAACAAAAGATAAGTAAATACATGGAGAAATGTGAATTCTACTTTTAAAAAGTCGTGTCTAAAAAGAAGGCATCCCAACATGCTTCAGTTCTTAAATATAATTTAATTAAAATGAAATACAATTAAAACTCAGCCCGTCACACATTTCAAAATGCCCCAAGCAGAAGGCAAGCCCTTGGTTCTCCTAGAACTGCGAGCTCTGCAATCTGCGTGTAACCTCCAGGTGGCGATCAGAGCGCTACTCCGGGCATGGCGCTCAACATCAACGGAAGCGGAAGTGGAAACTTATCTTCCTGACTGGTTCCTTCTATTTTCTCCTCCCCCGGAAACACAGACCCTCTAGACTCGGGTACTGAGGCTTGCCTGCGGCGGGCGGACTGGCCGGGAGGGATGGGCGTGAGCGCGGAGCCGCGGAGCCTGGCTGTCGCCGGGGCCGGGCTCGCGTCCCCCGTGATCGAGAAGGCGCGCTCCGCGCTGTTGCCGCCGCAGGACGTAGAGGACACGGTGGAGACGCTCATGGTGAGCTCCTGGGGACAGGGGCACCGGGTCGGGAGCTGCCTGTGCTGGGGGACAGTGCTTCTAGAACATTCCAGACCTAGAACCCTCTGGCGGCAATGGATATGAGCGCTTCGGGTCACCCGGCCCTCCCTCAGGCCGCCGCCGGCTGCAGGCCGCCTCCCTGGTCCCGCTTCCCTGCGGGCTGCTGCCTCAGCTTCCACGGCTCGCGAAGGCCACGCCCCCTCAGTCAGATTGGCTGCGCGGCCGGGCGCCGGGCTGCCATTGGCGGAGGCGGGGGCGGGGCGGGGCGGTGTCTCCCGCAGCCTGGGCGGGGCCTCGCCAACCATAGGCGGCGGCGGGGGTGCGGCGGGAGCCGGGGCGGACCTGGGCGGCGACGCTCCCCCGTGGCAGGAGGACGACGCACTCCTTTTGGGATGTCCTTAACATTTTTATCCTGTTTTGAGACAGGGTCTCACTGTGCAGCCCTGGCTGGAACTCGCTCTTTAGACCAGGCTGGCCTCGAACTCGGAGAGATTGGCCTGTCTCTGTCTTCAGGGTGCAGATACTAAAGGCGTGTGCTCCCCTCTGTGTGGCTTTTTGGAAATCTTTAAAGATAATTATCCTGGCAGCTCCAGGATCATGTCTTCCAAAACTGCATGCCCTTTCTCCCTGGACTTGCCATCTCTCCCCTTCTGTTTGTATTGGACGTAGGGATTCTGCTGGTTGTGGTTTTGTTGGGAGTGGTAGAAATTGCGGAACTGATTGGCTGTTGAAATGATACTCGACTTGTGTTTGTGTGTGGTCCTACTTGCTGATTATGCTTTTAGGTGTTATTTATTTTTATTTATGTGTGTGTGTGTGTGTGTGTGTGGTGGGGGTATGTGCACAAAAGTGCAGTGCCCATGGAGGCCAAAAGCGTGTTGGGATCCTCTGGAGCTAGAGTTACAGGTGGTTGTGAGCACTGCTTCCCATATGGGTGCTGGGAACCCCATGGCCTTCTGGGAGAACACTGCTCGCTTTTGACTCTTCTCCAGCCCCTTCTGATTGTTTTTGTCTGTTCTCACGCTGAGAAAATTGCAATATTCAGCCGGGCGGTGGTGGCGCACGCCTTTAATCCCAGCACTCGGGAGGCAGAGGCAGGTGGATCTCTGTGAGTTCGAGGCCAGCCTGGTCTACAAAGCGAGTTCCAGGACAGCCAGGGGTACACAGAGAAACCTTGTCTTGAAACCCCCCCCCCCAATAAAAAAAAAAGCTGTTGGCTCTTTTTGTTGATTCAGTGAGTATTTATTGGGCCAGTGATGTTCTCGGTCACTGTGCTATGAAGATAAGACATTTAAAGTGCGGTTTCTGCCATCAGGCATGGAGGTGAAGGACAGGAGCCTTAAAATAAAGTGGTGCAGGGCTGGAAGTGTCTCAGTGGAAACATGCTTGTCCAGCATGCCGGAGGCCCTAGGTTCAGTTCCCAGAACAGATAGATAAACAGGCTGTGATGCCTTTGAGAAGCAGAGCCTAGGAGAACTGCCCAGAAGCTGTGTTACTGTTCCTTCTAGTAACCTTGCTGGGAGTGATTTTATCCTGTTCTGGGACATGACATTCAGGGGCTACTGGGCCGTATCCTGTGGGTTTCCGCTCAAGGGAGAGCTGAGTACAGGTTTCCTGTTAGGAAGAACCATTCATCTGTCTGTGTCGCACACTTTCTGAACACCAGTTCTTGTTTTGTTTTTGAGAGAGAGTCTCTATGTAGTTCTGACTGTCCTGGGTCTCAATATGTAGATCAGGCTGCCCCTCAGTCTCAGAGTTCTCCTGCCTCTCCCTCTGGCTGCCTTGCTTCCATGTCAGTGCTTGAGAGGACTGTGAAGAAGACGGGGTTGTGTCATAAGGATGGTGGCCACAGCGGGCTGCTGCAGGTGTCAGGGAGACGCACTGGACCTGACCTGAGATGAATGGATAACGTCTGAGTGTTCAGAGGTGAGAGGGAGGCGGGGAGAGCACCTTATGGCACTAGTGGATGGTGAATGTGTGGGCCAGGGAGGTGAGGAGGGCCTGTGTGCTGGCCGAGGCAGTAGGTGACACTGTCTGGGAGAGTTAGGGAGCAGCCGAGTCATGTTTGATTTACTCTGGATGAGTACTCCTGACAGTTGTCCTGTTTAGTAGTTTCTAGTACATTTACCATTACGTATAACCTTTGTTCCATCCTGTTTGCTTGCATGAGTTGGTAATTTATACGTGAACAGAACACGTCTCATTGAGGCTGCGGACTCCAGTCTGCAGTGTTTAAAGACGACCCTGGCTTTGGGGTAGGAAGTCGATGGAGGGGCCAAAGAGCTTCGATGAAAAGGTTGTGGCAATCAGCAGGGAAGGAGAGGTGCACCCTGGAGCCTGGGTGGGTCCAGAAGAGGGGTTGAGAGCTGACGAAGAAGCAGAATGAGCAAGTGCGGAGAGGCCCAGGCCAGGATGGACAGACAGCAGCGTGTTCACTTGGATGTGGCATGCCAAGAAGCAACAGGTTGGAGTGAAGGAGGGAGATGAGCTCAGTTCCAGATGTTGTCTGGGGTGACATCTGAGCAGCGGCAGTGTGGGTTTGTGTGGAGCTCCACAGAGCAGTGGTGTGTAGATGAGAGGCTAGAAACTAAGGAAACTGAAGCTGCCTGAGGGATGTGAGAGCGTGGCTCAGTGGAAGAAGAGCCGTGGATAGTGGCCAGAGAAATGAGGGGACGGGGATCATTGCTGGGCCGGAAGGAGGGGGGCTCAAGAATATGGGATCTCTCCTGGCCCACACACCACATTTGCAAACCCCCGGCTCGTTCCCGAATAAACTCATTCTTTAGAGAACCTCTCTGTTTCTCAGGTTGGAGGACAGACAGGGCTGACTGATGGGTCAGTCCTCAGGACATACTCAGGAAGCAGCAGGCAGAGCAGAGCGAGTCTCCGGACACTGGGGAGGAGGCAGGTCTGGGGGACCGTTGCCCAAGTTTCCAGTTTGACCTGTTGGGTTTGAGACCCCTGTGGGCCCCCATGGGCAGGAGGGGACCCTGGGATGGCAGAGTGGCGGGAGGTGCCGGTGGAATGGGAGTGTGTGTGAAGCCCGGCTGTGGGTGGGGCTGCTCTGAAGGGCTGCGGGCTGAGGAGATAAGAGGTGCAGCAGCACTGATGTACACATAGAGGGGAAGAGACCTGTAGCCGGGGTGGGGTGAGGTGGGGAGGGGCGTGGAAGGAACCAGCATCGAGAGGGAGGTGGTCGCTGATATCAAATGCACTTAAGAATTCAAGTAAGTTAAGGACAGGGGCGGAAGAGGGGCCCTGGGATGTGCAGGCCCCAGTGAGTCCGAAGGAACCTTACCGGAGGAGTTCTGACTAGATGGCAAGCCCGAAGCGTGACAGGCCCAGTGTGGCACTGGAAACAGGCTCTGGAGCAGGTCTCCAGGCAGAGAAGAGATGTCCAAGGAAGAGAGGGACCGGGTATATGAGGAGGTTGAACCCCCCAAAACTGCAAAGGCTCAGGTGAGGCTGAGGAGCAGCTTTGTGGGGAGTTTTGTTTGGCAGAATAGTTGGCATCTCTAGGGCGAGGGCACTGGCTGCCAGTCCCGATGTGCTGAAATACACACACCGCCTGGTTTTGCCTGCTGTCTTCTGAGAGCCCTGCTGGCACCCCGGGACTGTCATCCCATCCAGTATCAACTCTCAGAACTTCTTTAGTCCCAGTGGTCTTGAAACCAAGTCCAAGTGTATTGGATGGAAGTTAGGGTGGACTCTCTCTCTCTGAAATGGGTGCTTCAGGTGGCATTTGGGTTCCTGGTGATTTGACGTCGTAACAGAGACTTCATAGTCCTTCTATAAGCTGTTAGAGCCACAGTGTGTCAGTTATTTTAAAAAGTAGTCTATGGCGATACCACCTGGAATGCACCTAGTCTTGTCTGATCTCGGGAGCCGGCCAGGGTGGGGAGTACAGGTGCCACTAAATGGGGGAGCAGGAGGTCTCCAGATGGGCTCTGCCAGGCGCTTGTTGTGTTTGGAGGAGGAGAGCTGTGAAGTGTCTGTTCGTTGGTGATTCTGCTGCATTCCAGAAAGGGGACGCTGTCATGGAAACCCAGTACCCCGAAGTGGGGGTGCACTCCTGGGGTGTGCCTGAGGGAGGTACTTCAGTGTCTGAAAGGAGTGGAGCCAGAAGATAAGCCTGCGTGTGGCGGTGCAGGGCTTGAGGGAGGGCCGTAGCCTGAAGTGTGTGTGTACTCTGCACAGTGTGTGGTCAGTCTGCTCGGGTCCGTGAGATGGTGGGTAGAAGAGAGGCAGGAGGTTTTGTTTGTTTGTTTGTTTGTGCTTTTGCTCGTTTTCCCGAGGCAGGGTTTCTCTGTGTATCCCTGGCTGTCCTGGATCTCACTCTGTAGGCCAGGCTGGCCTCAAGCTCACCTGCCCCTCCTCCCAGGTGCCGGGGTCAAAGGTGTGCCACCGCCCTTGCTGGAAAGGCAGAGCTTTAATGGAGTACTGGAAGCTATACATAGTGGCCACGCTTATGCTCTCGTGGGTTTGGACTTGTTCCTATAAATCCCTGCAGCTCCTACGACCCGGAGCTCGGGGAAGCGCTGGTCACACTGCACTCAGCATAAGGACAGATAGGGAAGCGTGCCATGAAAATGGACGTGTTGCCGAGTGGAGCCAGCGTTAGAGCAGGAAATAGTGAGACCAGAGAGGTCCCTTTTGCTGTGCACACTTCAGTACTGGCTGCAGACTTGACTTTCGCCGTGTTGGTGGGAAAGGCTTGGCGATTGGAGTGGCTCCCAACAGCGTTGTGGGAGGGGCACGAGGCACGTGGTCACGGCTCAGCAAATCAGGAAGCGGAGAGCCCAGCTAGAAGAAGGCTGGGATGGGGTTGTGACAGGTCCTCAAGGTCCTGAAGGTCCTCGGGAAAGCTTGGCAGGTGCCAGAGTGGGGAAAGGAGCTGGGCTTGGTGGGTAGCCTGCCGACGCCACTGTCTCTTGCAGTTACATCCGGTGATCAAGGCTTTCCTCTGCGGCTCCATCAGTGGGACCTGCTCCACCCTCCTCTTCCAGCCCCTGGATCTCCTCAAAACCCGCCTGCAGACCCTACAGCCCGCAGACCTACGGTAGGCTGTCGCCCTGCCTCCCGGCCGGGTTTGGCAACTTCTCGGACAAGTTACATCAACTTTATGACGTTAGAGAAGCACAAGCCAGGCTGGAATTCCTTTCTGCTGTTGTGTTTGCTTCAGACAAGGGTCTTGCTGTGTATCCTGCACTGACCTTGATCTTGCAATCCTCCTGTCTCAGCTTCCTGAGTGCTGGGTCATGTGCTTCGTGGATACTGTTTTCTGAAGAAAACAAGCTAATGCAGTTTTATATACCTACACATTATAACTTGATTAATTGGGTCCTTTTGAACAGCGCCGGAGGACCTTCTTCAGTAACATTTGCATTTGTGCTAGCTTGTGACATTAGGACTGTGCTACCTGGTCCTGGGTTGTTGTGTTTTAATACCATCCCTTTCGAATGAGTTTGTGTCTCTCAGCACTATGGGAACTACACAACCGGTATGTAAAGTGGAGTTTATCCCATTGCTGGTGGTGTGAATAGACAAGTAAATATGCGTGTGTGCCAAACCATGAATGCATGGCAGTCAAGAAGAATTGTGGGTCTGGTGAGACGGCTCAGCTGGTGAAGGTGCCTGCTGCCAAGCCTGACGGCCTGAGGTTGGTCCCTAGGACCGACTTGGGGGGAGAGAACTGATTCCTGCAAGTTGTCCTCTGACTTCCACATGTGTGCATGTACACACACACACACACACACACACACACACACACACACACACACACTACATAATAGATTTTTAAAAGCAATTCTAAGATGCAGTATAGAGATCCCTGTGTTTTAGACAGTCTTCGGTGGGAACTCTGCTGTGAGGGTGTGGTCTAACATTTGTTTTCTTTCCTGTCCATTTTGTCTCCTTCAGTTCCAAGCGTGTCGGGATGTTGGCGGTGTTCTGGAAGGTGGTTCGCACGGAAAGTCCTTTGGGCCTTTGGAAAGGGATGTCTCCTGTAAGCTGCCTGTTGGTCTGGGTTCTCCTCCACCTCACCGGCTGTTGCTTAGACTATATGGCTCCTCCCCAATCTGTGTGTATTGGTTACTTTTCATTGCTGTGACCAAATCCCTGACAGAAGCAGCTCAAGAGAGGAGACGCTTGTCGGGGTTTGTGTGGGGACCGAGTCCATCTTGGTGGGCAGGCGTGGCAGCTGGAATAGCTCTCCACAGCCTTGTGGGAGGGGCCTGAGGTAGCCGCTCACATCTCAGCAAATCAGGAAGCAAGGAGCTAGAAGAAGGCGGGGCCAGGACTTCCCTCCAGCTGTCCGGCCTCCTACTGACATTTTGCAGCCTCTCAAAAAGCACCACCATCTGAGGACAAGGCGTTTAACCGCATGGTTTGTGAGGGGCGTCTCCTCTCAAACCATGACCTCTGGTTTTAGTTCCCTGCAGTCAGCCCTGCTCCAGAACATTAAATAGAAAGTTCTGTAGATGAACAACACATAGGATTTCAATCGTGCATTGTTCTGAGTGTGAGGCATTACTCACACTCGGCCCTGTGCTCACCACTCACCTGTCAGTCACTCAGTAGCTGTCAAGTTATCAGCTCACCTGCTGGGGAACCATGAGCTTACCGTATCTTACTTACTGATGTCCTCAGCCCACCCTGGCGCTGACAGTGGGACCTGCCAAAGGGAAGCCGCCCAGGGCTTTGGGGGCAGGGAAAGAAGGTGGAAGAAGGAAAGGAGCGCTGTGTCCATGAGGTGGTGGAGAAGGAGGAAGAGATCCAGGCTGTTTTTGTTGTCATAGTTCAGATTGCAGACGTTAACAGCCCCGTGTGAACACAGCCATGGCTGTGGAAAGTGCTAACCTAAGGTGGACAGTGCGCTGCCTCTGTGAGTGGAGACAGGAACAGAAAATATGGTCTAATTGATGGCAGCGTGTACACCAGAGGGCACGGAGCCCGCTTGAAGACTTCAGCAAGAGATCTCCTGAATGAGTGACCACAAGCCCCTCAGCACAAGTGGGGGACACAGTCACCTGCAGCAGGAACAAGCCACACATGTGACTGAAGCGGCTGCCACATTCTGGCATGCTGACGTGACTGGAGAAAGGAAACTGAGTAGGGGCCAGATGGGAAGCGGTGGGGCTCTTTTCTAAGGTGCCAGCAAGTGGGACCTGCGTCCACAACAGAGCGGGTACTGCGGAGTATGAGATGTGGTCGAGCCTGACCGGGAGTGAGAGAACAGATTGGAGGCTATAAAGACGTGCTAGTGGGCTGGAGGATGGCTCAGTGGTTAAGAGCCTACGTTGAGCAAACCAACCGTGTGTTTAAACCCGGGTTCCACCTCAGCGCCCATGTCGGGCAGCTCACGACCGCCTGTAATTCCAGGTCCAAGGGATCGATCATCCTTTTCTGGACTCTGCATTCTCTCATGTACATGTACAAACCCATATACAGACACACATCTGTACACATAAACAAAAACAAACTTTTTTAAAAAGGTAACTGCTGGGCATAATCCCAGCACTCAGGAAGCAGAGGCAGGGGGATCTCTGTGAATTAGCAGCCAGCCAAGGCTATATAGTGAGACCAGGTCTGAAAACAAAAACAAAAACAAGCAAGGCATGGGAAAACCTTGTGAGTCACATCAGAAGAGGAGAAGAAACGTGGATGTTACCAAAATTTGCTGAAGTATTTTAGGTCGCACGTTAAAGGACAAAACCACGGGGTCAGATCGTCGTTGAGTGCCCTCCAGAGCTGTGACCCCTGCAGAGGCTCTGAGGAGTTGAACTCCTGGCCTCAGTTCTTCTGAACAGTTTCACAAATAAATCAGCCTTTCCTCTGTCAGGATGCCCTGGCTGTCAGCATCTCCTGCTCCTCAATCCAGCCATGGGGGTCATCATGGATGGTCCCCTGTGACAGGTCATCAGGTCAGTAGGAGCCTGACCTCCTCCAATGCCTGTGTCAATCGCGATCGCCTTGCCTCATCTCCTCCCCCAGGTGTTTCGCTGGCTCTAACTGTCACAAGAAGAGGGAGAGCAGGACCGTGGGGTGTAAGGGAAGGGACGCTGCAGTCATACAGATTTTATCACTCTGCCTCCCGGCCTTGAAGAGTGGAGACAGAAGTACAGTGTGCATAGGACTCAGTGTCGTCCACTGTTTTGGCTACCCCCTTCCCACAGATACGAGGGGCTGCTCGCTTCCCCCGTCTCCTGTACGGTCACTAACGTCTCCACTCATATGACTGTCAGCACAGCCCCGGCTCCGAAGCTGGCATCCCACTGTCTGTCAGCGCAGCCTCACCTTGTCACCACCGTGAAAGCGGGCTGGGACGGCCACACCTTTATTTCTTTGCCCAGAGGCTTTTTCTGGCCCCAAGGACCCACCTTGCTGGAAGTACCAAGCCTTGGTTCCCACCCTCCACCCACAGCAGCCTTCAGCCTCTGAAAGATGGGAAGTGATGTTTAACTACACCCCTTGCCCCTTCAGCAGAAAGATCACAGTGGTGGGGTGTTCACTTGCAGAGGGGGACTAACCTAGCCACAGCTGGAGCTGCTTTGATACACTCCGTACTGACCGATGCCTTCCTGTCTCTGCCCCTCCTCCCATTGGTGCTCCCTTCATACCTTAAACAAGCAACTTGCATGTGGATCACCCTGGGGTCTCCTAGGGATCACCTTCCAGAAGGCATCCTGTAGGTTTGAGTCTGGTTTCATCCTTCCTCTCTCTGCCTTTCCCTACAGTCCATCGTGAGGTGTGTCCCTGGCGTCGGAATCTACTTTGGCACTCTGTACTCTTTGAAGCAGTACTTCTTTCGAGGCCATCCTCCAACCGCCCTGGAGTTGGTCATCCTGGGCATGGGCTCACGCTCCGTCGCAGGAGTCTGCATGTCACCCATCACGGTGATCAAGACGCGCTACGAGGTAAATCTAATGGTTTTAGAACTTGGGGTTCTGGGTAGTGAGCACGCATGCCGCCCAGGAGTGTAGTCTGACTCAGGGTAAAACGTGCTCAGATAACTCAGTTTTGTAGACAGGGCAAGCCATGTGTGAGCTGGAGCCTGGTTCCGTGGTGATGGCATGTAACCCGAATTCTGCTTGGGCCACTGCTTGGATGCCAGTCTGTGCCAGTCACTAGATGTGCCCTCCCTCTGTAGAGTGGGACTTACAGCTACGAGAGCATCTACGCAGCCCTGAGGAGCATCTATTGCAGCGAAGGCCACCGAGGCCTCTTCAGGGGCCTGACAGCAACTCTGCTCCGCGATGCGCCCTTTTCAGGCCTCTACCTGATGTTTTACAGCCAGACCCAGACCACAGTGCTCCGTGGCGCAGGTAAGGGGCTGTGGTGGGCGAGAGCAGTCTCTGAGAGGCTGGGTTTTGCCTTTTCTCTGGGGTAGTCCTAGGAGTTTTAGGAATGGAGCTGTCTTAGTTAGGGCTTCTGTTGCTGTGAAGAGACACCATGACCACAGCAACTGTTATAAAGGAAACATTTCATTGGTGGCTCAGAGTTTAGTCCATTATCATCACGCTGCAGTGTGGTGGTGTGTGGGCAGACACGGTGCTGGAGAAGGAACTGTGAGTCCTACATCTTGACCCACAGGCAACAGGAAGTGGTCTGAGACACTGGGCATGGCTTGAGTATATATGAGACCTCAGAGCCCACCCCCACAGTGACACATTTCCTCCAACAAGGCCATACCTCCTAATAGTGCCATTCCCAGTAAGCTTGTGGGGGCCAGTAACATTCACACTACCACAGGAGCCATTCTGGGGCTGGGTGATAGGAGGCCCTATAGAGTTGATGTCTTCTAAAGGAGAGAGGGCAGGCTGGGTGAGAAACAAAGTGTGTTTTGCCAAGATTCTGCAACAGCATGCCCCAGACATGATCAAGGAACCCAGGGCAGAAGCTTTGGGGGTACAGCCTGCCAGTCTGTTTTTCAGTGAGCTCTTGGTGTGGTCCCCATCAGGCCAGCTGGGGAGCACTGACTGGTTGGGGATTTGAGGAAAAGTTTTCACCCGCCCTGCCATGTCCCTGCTACTGTTCGCCTGAGCCCTTCAGATGGGTGGGGCTAGAACTGCAAACTTGAGGTGCTTGTGTAGACCCACCCCCCAGCAAGCTTGTGGGCCACCCGTGAGCCAAGTCTGTGGGTGGTACATGCTGACAGAGCAGAGCAGAGTTGCTTGAAATCCATTCTACAGAATGAGCCTGAACTCAGCAAGCTGTCAGAATAATTGGGGAAGTGGGACTGGAATACCGCCCTGGGGACAGATAGCTGCAATTGTCGTGTTTGGGGGGAATGGCTACTTCCTCCTTCCTACATCAGAGGGCGTCCACACCTGCACTGTCCAGTCAGAGGGCGTCCACACCTACACTGTCCAGTCAGAGGGCGTCCACACCTGCACTGTCCAGTCAGAGGGTGTCCACACCTGCACTCTCTAGTCAGAGGGCATCCACACATACACCTGTGCAGTCAGAGGGTGTCCACACCTGCACTGTCCAGTCAGGTGTTGCAGAGCTGTCAGATATTTTTAATTAACTGTCAGATATAATTAACATGTTAATTGTTTGAAATCGTTATACTGAATATTGCGTTTTCCCGTGACCCCATCATCCAGACACATCCCAGGACCCTGGTCAGGCCTGCCCCGAGCACACTGGTTAACCCTGCCTCTCCACCGGCTTCTGAGAATGTGAGTTTTGTAGCTCACGCTGCCCTTGTTGTTTCAGACCAGTTGGATGCTGCTCTGATGCCCCTGGTTAATTTCAGCTGTGGGATATTTGCTGGCATTCTGGCTTCGCTGGTGACTCAACCTGCAGACGTGATCAAAACTCATATGCAGCTCTCCCCAGTGAAGTCTCAGTGGATTGGCCGAACGGCCACCCTCATCTTCAAGGTAAGGCTGCAAAGTGTGTGCTGCTCTCGTGCTCAGGGATGTCATATGCACATCCCTGACATATGCACCAAACCAAACTGCACACACCAACCCTGCATAAGGCAGCTCCCGGTAGAGAGAGCTTTTACCCCTGCCTGGGTCTGGTTCCAATCTCTGGCACCCCAGAAGAATCTCGTAATGTTCTTTTATATTCCTTCAATTTTATTGATGTGTGTGTGTACATGTTGGTGTGTGTGCTTATGGAAGCCCGAAGGGGCACTTCGTCCCCTGGTGCTGGAGGTGGAGACGACTGAGCTGCCATGTGGGTGCTGCAGAGCAAACCCTGGAAGAAGAGTGTGTGCTCTCCGCTCCTGAGTGTTCTGGAACCTGTTATGTAGCCCAGGCTGACCTGGAACTCAAGAGAGCCACCTGCCTCTGCCTCTGGAGTGGCGGGGTTAAAGGCGTGCGCCACCTCTCTAGGTTCTGAATGTTCCTTTTTAAACTAAGAAGTGTCCCTAGGTGGTGCAGATCTAAAGACGTAGCCCCTCACAGTTACAGGAAAATTGGAGGGTCATTGGTTATCCCCGTGGGGCCATAATCCACAGGTTTGGCACACAGTTGAAAACTAAGACTCTAAGATGGAGAACAAGCCATCTGGTGATGGGGTGTAATTAGCTGCGTTGAACTTTGCTTTTGAAGTTTTGACACTGGTTTTCATCACAGAACCATGGGCTGCGTGGCTTCTTTCAAGGCGGTGTTCCCCGGGCCCTCCGTAGAACTCTGATGGCTGCCATGGCATGGACTGTCTATGAGGAAATGATGGCCAGGATGGGCCTCAAGTCCTGACAGGAGAGGGCCGGGGAAGGAGAATCTGCTGTCTTGCCTGGTTCCTGCCGTGGGCCGCTGCAGCTTGCTCTCCTGGAGTCAGGTGAAGCACTGTCTGAAGAACCAGGCATAAATGCTGTTGCCTTTAGTCCCCCATTCAAAGACTGGAGGAGCGCTGGAGCCCCCAGAGCCTCAGAAGTGGAGTCGCCAATGCCCGCAGCTCCAGACACTCCCAGCCAGTACCCACAGGGAGCTGGGATCGAGCCTGGTTGCCCCACAAGGCTACTTGAGAGGCATTTCTAGAGAGACCTCTACCAGAATGCTCTGTTTCAGCCACCTACCTACATCATAGGGCACCTTAGATATGCTGGTGAGCGCGGAGTCCCACAGCAGAGAAGCGCCTCCTGGCGTGTCTGAGGGCAGGAGTCTCAAGTTAGGGAAGACTGGACCTAACAGGAGCTGTCGTGAATCGGTGAGATGGCTCCGAGAGTTACGGCGCTCGCCTGCATTGGATCCCTGCACCCATGGAGGAGGAGAACCAACTCCTGCAAGTTGTCCTCTGACTTCCTCACGTGCACTGTGCAAGCACCCATACCCCATAAGGAAATAAATGTAATTTTTTTAAATAAAGACATCAACAGGCTGGATACTGTTTGAGGCGATAAAAACAATAAACATTCTCAAAATAAGATAGAATTTAATTTTGCTCCTGGGGAATCTCCTGTAGACCCCAGAGAATGGACACAATCACTCCCTAGGCTTCCAATGTACTGTTTCATTGTTTGTTTGTTTTGATTTTTGAGACAGGGCTTCTCTGTGCAGCCCTGGTTGTCTTGTAACTCACTCTGTAGACCAGGCTGGCCTTGAGCTTAGAGATCTGCCTGCCTCTGCCTCCCAAGTGCTGGGATTAGAGGTGTGCGCCACTACTACCCCCAAATGTACTGTTTTAATCTGTGTTATTCTCACATTTTCCATAAATAAAGTTCAGATGGAAAAAGTAAAGACCTTCGATTGAGATCTGTTGGAAAAACAGAAAAACAAAAATAAGCATAGCAGATTGAGGAGAAGCACGCCATTAATCCCAGCACTTGAGAGGGAGAGGCAGGTGGCTCTCTGGGAGTTCCAGGTCAGCCAGGGCTGCATAATCAGACCCTGTCTTTATTTTAAAAAAAAAGAAAGAAAGGAAAGGAAAAAGTACTTCTTGATAAATCTAAATAGTATGTCTTACTCTCTGAGGATAGCAGAGGAGTTTTGAGGTGACTTAATTTTTGACCTGTCATATAAGTCCTTAAAACTTAATTTTAAAAAAGCAGCTTTAGAGATGGGTATGGTGGTGCACACCTTTGATCCCAGCACTCAGGAAGCAGAGACAAGCAGATCTCTGAGTTTGAGGCCAGCCTGGTCTACAGAGTGAGTTCCAGGACAGCCAGGGCTACACAGAGAAACCCTGTCCCAGAAAACCAAAGGAAAACAAAGGCAGCTTCAGTTTACACACTCAACAGTGTACCTGTTTGCAGTACACAGGCTAGTGGTTTGGAGCTTGATGTATGGCTGAGTGGAGCGCTAATACATGCAAGGTCCTGGGTTTGATCCCCAGGACACCTGTCATAGGACACTCAGTCACCGCTGTGAGACCCTGTCCAAAAAGTGCAGCCGTGACCCTACATCAGTTTTAGAACATTCCTTTGTAAGATCTCATAATCCTCATTCCCAGCCCACAACTCATTTTCTGTAATTTTGTCTTTCTGAACACATCATTTAATAGATTCTAGAACATTCTGTATTCTTTTACTCATCAAAATATTTTGAGGTACATTCCTGATACTTTGTTCTTTTTAGTTTTACTTTTTTTTTTTTTTTTTTTGAGACAGGGTATTAATTCACCTTCACACCCACGATCCTCTTGCCCCCACCTCCGAAGTGTGAATTAACGGGTGTACCACAGTGCTCAGGCCAGCCGATTTCCTCTGGAGTTCTGGGACCTTGTGAGGTGCGGCAGGCACTCTACCACCTAGCAGTACAAACAGCGTAAAGATGTAAACAGATGACCAGCCGCCCAGGCCTCTCCACATACCCTTCAATGCTGGTCGTGTCCTGCTGGGTGACCGTCTTTTTTTTTTTTTTGGTGGTGGTGGTTGTCTCAAGTTTAGGAAGGAGCCATTACTTTCTCCAAGGAGCAGAGGGGTAGGTGGGTATGTGCTCCAGTGTTTAAAAAGCTCTAACACAGGGCTGGAAAGATGGCTTAGAGATTAAGAACATTTGCTGTTCTTCCAGAGGTCCTGAGTTCAATTCCCAGCAACCACATGGTGGCTCATGACCACCTATAATGAGATCTGGTGCCCTCCTCTGGAGTGTAGGCATACATGCAGGCAGAACATCGTGTACACAATAAATAAACCTTAAAAAAAAAAAAAAAAAAGCTCTGACACAGATGGCCCAGGCTGTGTCAAAGAAATGGGAAGAGTAAGACCCCACATGCCCTAGGCAAAAGACCACCATGGAGACAGAATCCCGCAGGTCAAAGCAAAGAACCTTTATTTCAAGTTCTGGAGCTTGGTCCCTCTGTCTGTCCGACACAGAGCAGAGAGCCCCGAGCTCAGGTGGGGTGGGGTTTTTTTCATAGCAGAGGTTGGGGTGAGGGAATTTCCAGAGTTCAGGACCCTGATTGGCTGACAGTTGTCTAGGGGTGTCTGTAAAACAAAAAAAGAGGTGTGTGCAAGACTCAAGGGCATCTGGCACTTATCTAATGGGGGGATGTCAGGTACGTCCTCACCCCTGGGTGGATCCCTGGGTGGTATCAGCTTAAGGCTTTTCCTGGATCTGGGTGTTGGCCTGCCAGTAAGCCTGTCACAGAAGCTGTCTAAGCTGTCATGGCTGCTGTGTGGTCGAGCTGTGTTGGGGCCCCTCCACAGCTGGGTGTGAGGGGTTAGTAAATGTCAGGTTGTTTTACTGACAGTCTAGTTTTTATTTTTACAGCCATCTTTCTACATAGGTCAGATTTATATTTGTAGTTATTAGGTTCCAATGCTTTTGTACTATGGGACATTTTTTTTCTTTTTAAATTTTATTTTACAATACCATTCAGTTCTACATATCAGCCATGGGTTCCCCTATTCTCCCCCCTCCCACCCCCTCCCTTT